ACTATTATGGGAAGCTAATTCTTTCTTCTGAATAACTGTCATAGGACAACGAGATGGCGCAGTAAAACTCTCCAATTGATCCTTTTCCACATATCTGCAAAATGATCAAATACCAGAATTCGCGGGTTTTTTTTATCGTATCTCGAATTATTTCGGTATATCCAATGTTTTTGGTTTCATGTAAAGATTATGCGAAAAATAAGAACTGAAGGGTTACAAAAAAAAAAGAAGATGAGATGAATGGCGAAGAAAAAAAAAAGAGAGAAAGAAATAGCAATCCTCTATATTTAAGTGAACGAATAAATAAAATAATTCATTCCATTTTATCCCATTTTTTATTCGATTTACTTGAATTTCGCGAACAACGTCAGATACAGAAACATTCGCAAACAGAACGAAAGAAAAATGAAATTACGCAGAGATTTATTAGAGAAAACAGTTTAAATACTGCCATCAGCTTTTCACTTGTGCATTCATAAAAGAATATATCGTGTGTACTAAAAAACAGATTGCAAGTATGGACGATTGAACCCTCAACGCGTCCTCCGAAAAAAATATTCAACCCATTGAATCAGAACAGACTAATTTTTTCTCTCACCCTTACAGGTTGGTCAATCTGTAAGAGTTAGAATGGCCATTTCCCAGTTGAATCTTCTATTTTCTTCTTTATATTTTACGCTGATCTCCGAAGCGCTTACCCGGACATTATGACAAACGCGACAAAGGTCTTGGAACCAAATTCCCACGCCTTCATGAAAGACGTCTTCTTCGCATAGAAAATTGAAGAGAAATATTTGGTGAATTCCTAAATTTTGTTCTTCCGCTAATTTTGTCTTGTTTTTCTCTTCGAAACGGAAATATTTGTAGTAATTGACTCATTGTGCTTCCAAAGGGTCCAGCTTTACGTTTTTATGACATTCAGGTTAACACTGGGTCATTTAAAACTAACCCCCAGCTATTGATAATTATTGAAATCGTCCCCCAATTTCACATCAGTAAAGACATTATGAATGTTATTAAAGCATTGAGTCGTAAAATATGACCTTCTACCCTTAAATCGTCTTCTACTTCTTTTGTGTGCTTTATCTGCTCATCTCGTGGCCGATCATGGTTCTCCACAACTTCCTATGCCTTGTAGCTCTAAGCAACGTTTATCCTTTTACTGTCCCTCCGAGTTCTCCCATCCATTTACACAAGCTTATTACTTACGTTACACCCAGTTTCCCTTCGAAACATGGACAATCATGGCTCTCCACAACTTCCTATCCATTGTAATTCCAAATAATATTTATCTCCATACTAAACCTCCAAGTTCACATTCTCTCATCCACTGACACAAGCTTATCAGTTATGTTACTCGCTGTTTTCCTTCTAGACATGGACGATCATGGCGCTCCACAACTTCCTATCCATTGTAACTCTAAGCAATGTTTATCCCCATACTAGGCCTCCGAGTTCACTTTTCCCATCCATTTTACACAAGCTTATTAGTTATGTTACTCGTAATTTCCCTTCGAGACATGTGCGATAATGACTCTCCACAACTTCCTATCGTTTGTAGCGCTAAGCATTTTATCAACTTAATATCCCACCCAGTCCATGTTCTGCCACTCATCTACACAAGCTCGTTTGGGAGGTCACTCAATGTTTCCCTTCAGTATACTCTGTGAGTGTCAAATTCTCCAAGCTCTCTTTCCTCACTATATGGCACTCACAGGTAGGTAGGTATTGATGGTAAGAGGGACAGAGGAAAACGGCATATAACCCACCCTTAACATGCTTGCAGGACAGAAACTGGGATAGATAGGGAAAAGACAACACTTATTATGAGCTACAAAGGATAGGAAGTTGTGGAGAGCTATGATGAGCGAAAGTAAGTTATATCTATGGCCGAAAGTGATTTTCAACGAAGACTTTAAATAGGAAGCCAAACATTTTTTTTTAAAATAAAAATGATTCCCAGATTTATTTAGTAGATTTTAGTCTGGTTCGTTTTTGTCTGTGTCCGACAGATTTCGTGGTAGTCTCATTCCTGCTGTCATCGTAATAGATGTGATCGTCATCGCCGATGCTGTCGTTGTCCACAGTCACGTTATCGTTCATCCCCTTAACAAGTCGCTCATCTACACTGCTGTTTAGTGTGTTCATTACACGGTATTTTTTGATGACTTTGTAACGAGTGCTTCAAGGATGCATTGCCAGACTCCAGAATATCTATGTACATTTAACAGAAAGATCTGCTCGACAGTTGCGAATACTTTCTTTTAGATATACCGTCTATTTCCGCGTATAAGACGACCTTCAGATTAGACGAGGTCAAAAATATAGGAAATTTTCATGAATTTATCCTATACATGTAGTATAATTATAGTATTATTGATTATATAAAGATGATGCTATTGGAAATGTTGTTACTTACTCTATCCATAGAAATTCACAATAAGCGAAATGACAAAACTGATTCTACATCATGTTTTTCCTACACACGTCCCCTAAATGTGAAACCATTGTTTTGTTTACGTTTTATCACGTGATCTCTTGCGAATACTGATTCTTCTTCTTCCTCTTCTTTTCCTATATCTAAACAGTTACAAACAGCCTGGTGTACTAATAGCCATTTACTTATACTTCATAACAGTACGATAATGTACGCTAATAGTACATTCCATTGCTGTGAATGCAATCATAACTCGATGTTTACATTTTCTCAGCTGAGCTTGCATGGATAAAAGTTAATTTCATTGATATGGAATTATTCTTCGAATAGATAATTTATTATGAAGTTATGCTGGTAATATTAAAAGTAGAAATTGTTTTAGATGTAATCATAACTCGATGTTTACATTTTCTCAGCTGAGCTTGCATAGATACAAGTTGATTTCATTAATATGGAATTATTCTTCGAACAGGCAATTTATAATGAAGCTATGCTAGTAATATATAAGTTAGAAATGGTTTTATTACTTTTATTATCAGTTTATTTGATAATGTGAATTTTTTCATTTCCGTTATTGGTTATTGCACTAAGGCTGAGGTTAGCCTACCGAAAAACATCACTGAGAATTTAAGACTTCTTTTTCAGAATTCTAGTATAAGACGACCTCCAATTTTTAAGAGTGATTTAGGAGATTCAGAGGTCGTCTTATACGCGGAAATATACGATAAGTCTCATTCTATTATATACGTGCAAGTTCTATTCTAACGCGTTCTTCTCTCGCACTTCTCGCCTGTGGAACTCTCTCCCTCCACCTCCTTGCTTGCCTGTCAACTATGCTCCTCAAATATATAAATTCAACATCATCCTTGAATTCTGTTCTTTTTATTGTCTTTTCTACACAGGCATTTGTTCTTTCACTCTCTGCAATATCTTACGTCTCGGTGACTTTATCGCCTTACTTGGGGCGAAATGATTTTAAAAGTTGCTCTAAATACTGTTTAATTTTTGCGTTTCAATACAATGTAAACTCTTTATTTTAGGATATCACATCAAAAACATGTCAGAGCGTTTATCCTGCTTTTAAATTTCAATAAATTGCCTACTCACCAGTTATTTACAAACGCCTGATAAACTGCATTGATACGCATCGAAAGTCGACGGCAATTGTGTAGCGATTTTGACATGTTTTCGACGTAAAATCCTAAAATAAAGGATATTGCTCTATTTTGTATTGAGCTCTCTTTTAAATTGAATGTTACGAACGTTGGTATTGTACTCTGTTCGTTCTCATTTTACCTGTATACATACATACATATATATATATATATATATATATATATATATATATATATATATATATATATATATATATATATTCATACACAAGTGTTGTCTATTTATTTTATGTAAATTATTTTCATAACATCTAATAAGTTTAAAAACAAACAAGACGAAGAAAGAAAATCACAATATTGATACATATTTTTTAATCCTATCTAAGCTTTCGGTTTACATAAGCCATTATCAAAGATGACATTTACTGTACAATATATTAAGCAATACACGGACAAGAAAGTGATGATAGTCTGTTTCTGTTTACATGGATGATTTCCAAGCAACGGCAAACTCGTGAATATGAGACGTTTAATGATAATATTATTAAGCTTATCAGACGTTATGAAAAGTATTTACATAAAATAAATACACTTGTCTATATTATTTAACGAAACATGTATGAATGAAAAATGATGCTTAAATACACACAATATATATATATATATATATATATATATATATATATTATACTCTATTCGTTCTCACTTTACATCTACAAGTTACCTTGAGAATGAAAAGATTCATTTCAAATCAAAATAAAATTCCCTCTACACTTTACATCGTGTGATCAATTCTGTAATTACCACAAGACATTGCACGAATAATGAATAACGCTGTATTGATAATAAAAACAATACATAATACTTCGTTAATAATAAAGTATAATAAGTAATACGGTATTAATAATAACAAATATTAAATAATACTGTATTGGAAAAGATGAATGTTAAATAACAGTCCTTATAATAACAAATAATAAATAATATTTTTATTGATAACAACGAATATTAAATAATGTAGTATTGTTAACAACGAGCATTAAATAATACATTATTGATTATGACGAATAATACATAATACGCTATTGATAATAACGAATTATGAATAATGTTTTATTGCTTACAACGTGTATTAAATAATATACTACAGAAAATGATGAATAATATATAGTATTCTATTAAAAATAAAGGATAATGAATAATAATGTACTGTTGACAGGGTATAATATATAATACTGTAATGACAAGTGATGACAAACTGGCAGATACACAACGTGCATAGGAAGTGTAAGCACCGTTGCACTCACGCTGCCAGCGCGATGGATAGGGTAAGTATGCAAGGCCAGTAATAAAGGCGCGTAGCAAACGGCTTTCTGGCGAGAAACTGATCGATATCATATGGCCTGAGCGGATTATCATCTCGGTGCTGTTTTCGCCTTAACAACGTCATGTCATTTGAAAGGTTTCGGATAGTTACTCCTGATTCGCCTTTACGGGATTTTGATTATTTCGTAAAGCTTTCGTTCGCTCAGCTTCATCCTGCGGATGAAGGAACGCGGGGGCGAAAAGGTTGTTCAGCTGAAATCTTCATCCTCATCCTCATCCTATCTATCTATCTATCTATCTATCTATCTATCTATCTATCTATCTATCTATCTATCACTGTAGATATCTATCTATCGCATCGACCCTCCCTACCTACCTATTATCTTTCTCATCCTCTGTCTACTGGAGATTATCTTCTGTGCGTGAAATATTTTTTTTTCATTGACGGTAGCCTGTTTTTTTATAATCTGTCTCCTATCTATCTATCTATCTATCTATCTATCTATCTATCTATCTATCTATCTGTATGTATGTATGTATGTATGTATGTATGTATGTATGTCTATCTCAGACTGTATCTATCTATCTATCTATCTATCTATCTATCTACCTATCTCAAACTTGATATATATCTATCTCAGATTGTTGATATCTATCAGTCCATCTTTCTATCTCTGTCTATATCTCTGAGATGAGGTATTATGATTACTTGCACTACTTACATTATTCGGACTGTTAGCCTCATTGCCATATTCACAACGTTTCGACCGTTATACGCTCTGGCTTTCTTCAGGTGATCGGAAGGACACGTCGGTTAGATCCAGTGACTAGGGTTGTGAGTTCAATACCAGGTCACAGCAGTGATGAACCAAAAAAATTGGAGAGTTGAGTTAAAGGGAAATAACCGAGACATCCGGAAGAGGCATGGCACGTGGAACTAGAACAACCTACCTCGGTGGACGATGTAAATGGTTCGATTCGAAATTCCAATCACCTAATGAAGGCCGGAGAGTACAACAGCCGAAACGTTGTGAATATGGCAATGAAGATGAGGATAACAGTGCGAATAATGTAAATAATGCTATCTATCTATCTATCTATCTATCTATCTATCTATCTATCTATCTATCTATCTATTTAAGTCTGTTGATAACTAACTATTTATCTACATATCAACCTGTCTATCTCGCTGTATTATTTCCTATCTATCTATTTATTTATCTATGTGTTTGTTTATGTTCGTTTGTTCATATCTATCTACATATTTCAGTCTGTTCTTGTTTATTTATGTACCATAAACTTGTCACGAGTGTCTAGCTTGAAATATTATTTATCTTTCGCTGTCAGTTACATTCCGTATATCTTTCTAGCCACCTACTCATCTATCTATCTATCTATCTATCTATCTATCTATCTATCTCATTTGGTTCTTTCTTTCTTTCTTTCTTTCTTTCTATGTATATCATTTGCCCTCCCCTATCTATCTATCTATCTATCTATCTATCTATCTATCTATCTCAACCTTTCCTATCTATCTATCTATCTATCCATCTCATTTGGTTCTTTCTTTCTTTCTTTCTTTCTTTCTTTCTTTCTTTCTTTCTATGTATATCATTTGCCCTCCCCTATCTATCTATCTATCTATCTATCTATCTATCTATCTATCTCAACCTTTCCTATCTATCTATCTATCTATCTATCTATCTATCTATCTATCTATCTCATTTGGTTCTTTCTTTCTTTCTTTCTTTCTTTCTTTCTATGTATATCATTTGACCCCCCCCACCCTATCTATCTATCTATCTATCTATCTATCTTCATTTCTTTCTTCATTTTTATCTACCTTTCTAACCGGACCTAAAAAGAATAGAAATGAAAACACCTGTAACATAAGTGCTACATCAAGACGTCATAAAAACTGCATCAACGTATATATCGACCATCACCATTTTTTTTCAGTGCAATGAGGAAGAAAAGTTAAAGATGCGGATCAACTGTGCCTAGTTTACGCACCCCAAACTGAGTGCAATAAATGGGGAAATGCAGATTTTCTCATTGAAACGCTTCTTTTTAGCTTTTTATCAGGAAGCACCAGGTGTGTCCAGAAAGTATCCAGCTGTTTGATCTAACGGAAAAATGTGGGCTACCTAGGGAAATGTCTTTTTACTTCCTCTCAAAACACTTCCTTTATGATTTCACGCATTGAACACACACAAACATACACATATCAGCGATCCTCTAGTCTATCTATGAGAACAGCAATGATAATTTTGAAGAAACAGCTTTGAATTCCTCAATTCCCTCCATGGAACTTCAAAACCTTCCTTTAACTCTGGCTATAAATCCAATTCCGACCAAAAGACAGATTTGGGACGGAATTCCAATTTATTGAGCTGTTCGGGGATTAGTGAGCCAAATACTAAAGCGGAAGCACCCGTTTGTCGAAAAGAAGAATTTGCAGAATGATTGTTTCAGGGATTTTTTTAATCAGTTTCCCCCAAGAAAGGCGATAATGTTACTAAGACGCAAAGGGCTACTAGAAATGAAAGAGAACGAAAAGACTTTTAAAGGAAACGGATACCCAATCCTAAACAGAAAACAGTGGATAAACCTCTACTCCTTTCTGAAAGACTGGTGAGGAGTGTGAACAGGGCGATAAGCCATAATTCACCTAAAACATGGTGATAATGTCAATAAGACACAAGGAATGAAAAATAATGAAAAGGTTTTAGAAGGAACCGGAAACCCAATCCTAAACAGGGAACGAAGGAATATCAGGTGGTGTAAGCTTAGGACGTGCGCATGGTGTTATGGATAACAGCTCTGAATTAGAAAACGGAGACCCGAGTTCGATTCCAGTCAGGCTCGTTGCATTCACTTACACACAAATACTATTCGGAAAGCTGCACTCTCAAAAATAAGAGGACTTCTGGTCCAACATAGAAAACAGCAAAGATAATTTTGAAGAAATAACTTTGAATTCCTCAATTCACTCCATGGAACTTCAAAACCTGACTTTAACTCAGATTTGGGGCTATAAGTTCAATTCTGGCCAAAAGAGCGATTTGGAGCGAAAATTGAGTTCTTCAAATCACAAACTCCGTGGAATTGTGTTGAGTTCTGAAGAACACTGACGGAAACACAGACAGAAATTGCCATTTATTTATCTAGAAATTGTCTCTGATTCATTAAATAAAAAAGGAAGATGAAAGGAAATGCTAGTCAAAAATTAATAATTGCTGACAAGACTTCATCTAGTTATACATGAATATTAATATGTATAGTAATAAAAGTTAATATTCAACATTGCTTTATCGATAGAAAAATGAACGTAGGTAAAATATTCTTCAAACTCTTAAACAAACACTTCCCGAAATCAAGCACTCTACACGAGAATTTCAATAAAAACACTGTAAAAATCAGCTATGGTTCCACCGAGAACGTAGCACAAATAATAAAAAAGCACAACAGGAAAACTTTCAACAAATCACCCTAACAAATTAAACCCGCGTGTAACTGTAGAATAAAGAATGAATGCCCCTTAAACAGTAATTGCTTACAAAAAAAACATAATATACCAAGCCACGGTAAAATCATCAGATAATGAAGAAAAAGTATACATAGGAGGAAGTGAAGGGCCATGGAAACAAAGAAACTATGCACACAAAATATCTTTCACAAATAGTAAATACGTGAACAGCACAATGCTTTCCATGTATATCTGGGAAATTAAGAACAAAAGGCAAATCACACCAAAAAATATCATGGAAAATAAGGAAAAAATCATCAGACTATAACAATCAATCAAAAACCTGCAAACATTGATTAGAGGAAAAAATAGCTATTATTACTTTCCCAGACCAAAATAAGTTACTAAATAAATTATCTGAACTCATCTCAAAATGCAGATATGAAAACTAATTTTTACTGCGTTGCTTAAAAATCGAAAACTGAAATGAATAAATAAAAATAAACAAAATAATATAAAAACAAGTAAAATAAATTAACCCAATCAAATAATAAACAAATAAACAAACCACTCCCGTTAGAATAAACGAAATAGAATAAATAAAAATAAAATACATAAAAAACAAGTAAAAATAATCAACCCAAATAAATAAATAAATAAAGTAAATAATAATAAACAGATTTAAAAAAAAACAGTCCCGCCACAATAACTGTTAGAATAGACTACAGCAATCAACCCAAAAATTGGACGAAAATAAACATATAACTGCTATATCACGAAAAAAAAAATTACTACGTTACTCAAAACTCGAAAACCGAATAGAGTAAATAAAAATATATAAAATAAAAAGTAAGTAAATCAACAAGAAAAAAACAAATAAAAATTAATCGAAATAAATAAACAAATAAACAAATCACCCCCGCTAAAATAACCGTTAGACCTACTTAAAATAAACATAAATAAGCAAAAATAAGTAAAAAATAATCAATAAATAAATAATAATCAAATTAAAAACTGTCCGACGCCCAAATAACTGAATAGACTACGGCAAGCAATCTAAGAATTAGACGATAAAAAAGCGTTAATTACATTCCCAGACCAAAGCAAAGAATTAAATATAGCGACCTAAGCAAATCCTCCCAAATTTTTACTACGTTAATAAAACATCGAAAGCCGAAAAAATAAATAAATATATAAAATAAAAAATGAAAATGAAAAACAAGTAAAATAACTCCAAAATAAATAAACAAGCCATTCTCGCCAAAATAACCGCCACAATAGATTACCCACAATACACCACTGACCCAAATATATATAAATAGTCGAGAAAAAAATCCAACTCTTGCGGCCTGACAATTTTGTCTATCATGTCGTTTCTGAGTGTTGACTTCAATGTTCACTTTTATATTTATATTTACATAGGCTCTATCTCTGATATTGAGCACTTTATCCCATAAATATAGCACACCTTAAAACTATATTTCTTCATATATATATTTATATATAGGTGTGTGTGTGTGTGTGTGTGTGTGTGTGTGTGTGTGTGTGTGTGTGTGTGTGTGTATACCATCGGCCAAAAGCTGGAACAACCCTTTCGGTTCAGAAGCGTAATCTAAAAATGATAAATAATAAAAATTGAGATTGCTTGCCTTTTTCAAAACTAATTTACTATTTCACTTCAGTTCAGAAGAGAGGCTTTCTCTTCCAGAATGTTTTCATCATATATTTAATAATAATAACAATTATTATTATTATTTTCTTTTGATTTCTGGCGTTTACACATTTCTTTCCGGGTCCCGCCCAGGGACCTAAAGTTAGAAATGGCATCATGACACTTTCCACTAACAAAATATATATATATATATATATATTACATAGATAAAGCCCTTCGTAAAGTGTGGGCTGTACTTGTCAGAACAATTTTTTGTATCTCCTTGAGGCATGGACTTCCAGGAATCCCTTCAATTAGTCTACTGCAATCTTTTCCAACCAGTCCTAGGGCTCCAACTACAACAGGGATTGTTGATGTTCCCAGATGTCACATTTTCGAGATTTCTATTTCAAGGTCCTTGTATTTTGACAGCTTTTTGAATATCTTCAAAGATACATTGCAGTCAGCAGGGACTGCCATATCAATAAGGAGGCATTTTTTTTGTTTGTGGTCGTTAATAACAATATCTGGGCGGTTGGCTTTGATTGTTCTGTCAGCGTGTATTGTGTAGTCCCATAGAATTGTAACAGCTCCTATCTCCGTAACCGGGTCTGGGTGGTGTTCATAGCATTTTCTTTCAGTTTCCTTCTCGTAGAAGTTGCAGATTTTCCAGTGCAGATATTGGCCCACTCTGTCATGCCGTGTTTTATATTCAGTGGGTGCCAATATCGTGCAACCTGATACAAGATGATCAAGCGTTTCTGGATATTTATCACAGAATCTGCATTTTGGGCTGACACAATATTTCAGTATATGTGCTTGATAATTCCTAGTTAACAAGCATTGGTCCTGTGCAGCAGGGATAAAACCTTCAGTTTCCGCTTTCAACCCTGCACTGCGTAGCCACTGATGGGTACGGATTTTGTCTACGTCACCTTGTTTGGTACGGGCAGGGTATTGGCCATGAAGCGGTTTATCTTGCCATCGCTTCTGTATCTGGTCGGTTGCATTCGTCTTTGCTGTCTTTTTTAAGTATTTTTCAGTTTCAGCCGGTGTATTTTGCTGTAGTTGCATCTCTACGCCCATTTGAAACTCCATTTTGAATTTGTTGGCTTCTTTTATTACGGAGTATAGACGCTTACTACTTTCATGTCCCTTGACGCATACCATCATCCAGTCTTCTGTAGTTTCCAAGTATCTTTGGAGGCCAATTGTTGTAGTTTTGTAGGATAGTTCTAGTTGAACTAATCATCTGCCTCCTTCGGATCTGGCTACATTCAGACGATCAACATCAGCTTTGGGATGATGCATGCGATAGCAAGTGAGAAGCTTTCTCGTTTTGGCGTCCATTCGCTTAATTTCAGCTATGGTCCAGTTAAGGACATTAAAGTTGGATTGCACCACAGGGACAGCCAATGTGTTTATGGCTGATATTCTGTTTTTTGAGTTTATCTCAGTATTTAGTACCAGACGTACACGCCTGTTGTACTCTTTTCTTATTTTTTTCCTTCATTTGGGGGTCTTGTATGCCATCTCCTTCGCTAATTCCTAGGTACTTATAGGCTTCATCATGCTCCAGTTCCCCAACCTTTGTGACAAAATCTAAATCTATTACGGGTGTTTCTGTAATTCTACCTGTCTTGAATGTTACTTTTGCACATTTATCTAATCCGAAGTCCATACCTATGTCGTCACTGAAGTATTTTACAATACTGAGGAGGCCTTTCAACTCATTGACATA